GGCTCGATGATGTGACGGGATAGGTGATGGCTCTCGTTCTAGAGATGTATAGTCGGGTCGATCGGGTGATGGCTCTAGGTGAGGTGATGGCTCTCGAATTGGAGGAAGTGGATGTTGCTCATCATCCGTGCCATCAAAAAATTCTGACTAGCTTGCCACCAATCAGTGGCAAGCTCTTCCTCCGTGGGTGTCAGTCTTTGTAATGGAATGTTGGCCTCCTAAAATATAAAAACTCAAACAAAGTTAAACGTCTACTATTAATAACTTGTTTTATATTATATGAAAGTATTTGTGTTAACTTACATTATTTATTGTGGCATATGGTATTAAGTCTTCCCAATCCAACAGAGTTTTCCTCTTCCAGGAAATAGCCCTGGGAATATCATTTGACGTTTTATTGCATATGTACGCATGCTGGGGAAAGCCTCGAATATCCAAATCTACAAACAATATAATAACAAAATTAGTAATTGTTAAATAATTAATTATAATTTTAGAAACATTATATAGAAATTCTTACCTTAAAGGCCCAAACAAAGCCTGACAAAGTGTATTTGGACCCATCGCCCCGCAAACTTTTGCGGTCATCAAAGGCAGACGACAACTTAGTCCAGGTAGCTTTCCATATATACGAACCCCACGGAAACAGATTCCATGCATTCAGGTCCTCTACCAATATTATTAGCTCCCGATGAATAGGTTGTCTGGCCTCTCTGCCTAAAAAGCCGGCATACACAAGTAGTAGAAGGCATACTCGGACAACATCGACGTCTTCCATCCGAGTGAAACCAGCTTTCTTATTAAATAATTTCTTCAGGTCGTCGACATGTAGGTTCGGCTTCTCCATTGACTCATCCGGAAAAACCCGGGATAACCATGATGGGCGGCGATATGACGAGTGTACCGGCCTACATCATCGTGTCCGAATCGTAGACCAGTGATTAAGCAGAACTCCTTCCGCCCAAAGCAAGTATACGCTGGTGGAAAATGAAACCATATCTCTTCCTCACCACGTTGTATACTGTCGGGTAGATTTGATGTCATGGTCTGAAGCCACAAATGGGTCAAATTAGCATCTCCACCCGGATGCTGTACTCTCAGCCATGGCCCGAAGCAGGTTTCCTCAAACAATTGTCTTTGAGCAGGTGAAAGCTTCTTTGCAATTGTAGTGGCCAGGCTGACTTTATTTCTCAAGGTCAATTGAGTCGAAAAAAATTTCTACAAAAACAATAAACATACCAAGTTAGATATACCAAAAACTACACTGTGAAGATATACCAAAACAATAAACATAAAAGTAGTAGTTTATTCTTGAAACTAAAATTTGCAACACTGTTTTGTCTTTTGGTTGAAATGAAAATCGCAACGAGAGAATCGCAACGCGAGATGACAATCGCAACGAGAGAATCGCAACGCGAAATGAAAATCGCAACGAGAGAATCGCAACGCGAAATGAAAATCGCAATGCGATTTTGGTTTCGCGTTGCGATTCTCTCGTTGCGATTTTCATTTCGCGTTGCGATTCTCTCGTTGCGACAGTCATTCTCTCGTTGCGATTTTCATTTATCTCGTTGCGACTCTTCTGCAAATTGAAACTTGAATGGATTGCATTACTTCAACCAAAAGACAGAACAAAGACAAAGACAAATACTAACTTGAAAATCGCAACGAGAGAATAGCAACGCGAAATGAAAATCGCAACGACAGAATCGTAACGCGAAATGAAATCTAAGTGAAACGGTTAATCTATTATTGAAATGACCAGTAAACTTATCATCAGTTTCAATATGAAAAACCTACAATAATGCAAACATTTCAAAATAAAAATAATTAAAAAAACTAACCCTCGGAGGTTGATTTTCCATTTCTGAATATTGTGAGGATTTCTGACCGTGAATGGTTGTGAGGGATTTCGCCGGAGATGGGGACGGAAATCTTCGGAGATGGGGACGGATTTCTTCGCCGTAGAGAGTGAGAGATGGAGATGGGACTGAGTTGTGATTTTAGGTTTTAGGTTATGAGTTGCGATTACGGGATTTTGTCTTAATATTCTTTTTGTAATTTGAAAATAAAATACGCGTAGCGATTATAATGGCGCTTTAAATATCGCGTTGCGATTTACGGATACGCGTTGCGATTTTATGTATTATCGTTGCGATTTACGGATACGCGTTGCGATATACGGATACGCATTGCGATTTACCCATACGCGTTGCGATTTACGGATACACGTTGCGATTTACGGATACGCGTTGCGATTTATGTGTTCGCGTTGCGATTTTCATATTCGCATTGCGATTATGGAAAATCGCAATGCGAATTTGTACTATCGCATCGCGATTTTCAAGAATCGCGTTGCGATTTTGGAAACTGATTTGCGATTCTGGAAACTGATTTGCGATTCTGGGGATCGCGTTGCGATTTTTATTTCGCGTTGCGATTTTGTTGGTCATTTTGGCAAATCCAAAAAAAGTTGGTTAAAATCGTATATTATAACTTTTTTTTTGTCACTGAGGCGATTTTCTCTACTTAAAATATTAAACCTAACTTAATCTTAAACTGAACCCTCATCAGCCGCTCACTCTATTCCCCCTCTACTCTCTCCCTCACGCTAATCTTCTTCCCAAACCCACGTAGCCCTCTTCTTCTACTTCCTTCCACGGCGCCACTCTCCTCCTCTACAACTCTCTACTGGTCGAGACACTCATAAATGAGTGCCTAGAAGTCCCAAACCGACCCTCAACTCTCCGATTTCCATTCGTTCTTCTCGACCGAGACAAGAGAACCAAACTCATCAATCGCTGCATACCAACGCCTGTTATGACAGGAAAACTTCTAAAGCCTAACGGAACCAACAAACTCACATGCAAAGCCTACAAACGGCGACCCAGGGAAACCGTCCCTTTCTTAACCCCTACGTTTTGACTAATTTGGCGACGAGGGGACCGACCCCGAAGGTAAACGATCTTTTCTTTGTACTCTATATTTTAATCTTTTTTATGTTTGGAACAAAGAAAGTTAATGAACGAAAAAACTTTTGAAAGGCTAAATATATTGCCTTGAAAATGATTTTAAAAATAAAGAAAATGTTACTGCAAAGAATAATGAAGAAAGAAAACCTTGAGGAATGGTATATGGATGCTAAGGAAAATACTGTCTCTATTGTTTTCGAATGGAAGAAAAGAATATTTCCCCGTTTACAGTTTGTTTTCCCCCAATTCGATTACAATTGTTGTCTCCCTTCCATACATTTTGTTTGGCTTTTTTATAGCCATTTTACATTGATTTTTACATATATAAAAATACCACTTGATATGTGTGATGATGTTTTTTGTTCTTTTGCGGGAGCAGCTGGCAGGGGCGGTGGTTGTGCGCAAATTTCTTGCGGGAAACACGGGATTGTAGGGGGTTGGTGTTGAAATGTGATAGTGGGGAGAAAAATTGGTGCTTACAAGGTGTGATTCCCATTTTCCATATAAGATGGATTCAAAGGTTTATAATGCATATGTGGCTTGTATAAGATTTAAAGGTGTGATGTACTAGCAAGACACGAACCATGCATGCAAATTGCAGAAGAAATAATTTCAAATCAATCGCACCCGCAACTACTCTTAATGCGCCAACGGACCGTCGTCGAGGCCTAGTTTGTTCATATTGAAGTTTGTTTCGTATATTTTAATCGTATCGTGTCCGTAATTTTAATTTTTTTTTTTAAATAGTATCAAATTTAGTCCCTTATAGATGATTTTTGAGTTATGTAATTTGAGACTTGGGAGAGGTATAAAATTTATTTTGGGTGTTGTGATATGGTAACAAGAAAAATGTTAATTATAGATCGGTATGTTTTATTCATGGTACAAACTGATTCTACTGTTGGGAGAGTCAGTGGAGACCAAAGCAGGATATGGTGTGGGCCAAGATTATTACGTTCTTTATGCTGATCTTGTCCAGTTGTTTTAGTTAAAGTGCTCAGTAAAAGTCAATGTCGGCTTCATGTCTGCTTGCTTCTTTTCTAACATTATATAGTTTCTTCTAACAAAAAAAAATTGTATATTCTCTATATTTCATTTTCTTTTTGGGTAAACTATATTCGTAGTGGTTATTTTTAAGTTTTGAAACATTTCAATACATACATTGAACTTTAGTTTTACGTTTAATTAAAACAAATTGAACAGTAAATCGATAGAAACATGTTTAATAACTAACCGTGTTTTACCTTTCTTTTATGTCCGTCTTTTTTCCCCTTTGAAGCCTTTTATGCATGTTCAAATTTCTTAGTTCTTAATTATAATAATTATTCGAATGGTTTTATTTTTATTAATCAAACAAATAGAATATTTGGGGTCATTCATGCACACCACAATCTTCGGTTGTCCTCTTGCCACCATTGAATCCTTCAATCTTCATCTTAACCACTGCACCACGAGGACGAAAACGATCACCTCCTGAAGAAAAAATCCTAGAAACCTCGGTGGTGTCGATCGGAGTCGAGGAAAAAAACCGAGAAACCGAAAGTCGATCATAACGGTAGCGTTTCAACAATTTACGAGTAACAAATATAAAAAACTGCAGTTAACCAAACCAAAACAAATTCCATTTGTTATTGAAAAAGTACAGCTGCAATGTGTATTAGTGTATCCTTGGTTCAATTACGAAAAATAATCAACACGCTGACAAGAATATCCCGTAATCTAATTAATTCCAAGTCGGCAGATCGGGTTCCGTTTGATGAGACTGAGGTCCACCTGCAATAACAACCATACATTATCCGTCGGAAAATAACCGCTATGCAGCAAGGAAGACGAAATTCGGCGTACGTATCAGTACCTTGTGTCCAAAGAGGTCCCTAATGTTATCGATTCCATAGAGTATCATAGTCGGTCTATGTCAAGGAAACAAAAATGAATGTCAATACGTTGTTCAGACAACTCATAATGCCGGACTATATAAGTTATTAATTTCTTGGTTCTTACCTTTCGAGGGAAAGGCCCCAAGCAATCACACGAACATCCTCCGGTAATCCCATTGGAAGCAACATCTCGGGTCAGAACATACCGGAGTTGGCAATTTCAACCCATTTCTTCAGGCCTTCATGGTAACTGGTACAAACAAGAATGAACCATCAAATCTATATTTACCTAACAGGTAACAAGTAAAAGAACCGTTTAGAGAAATATGCAATGTATCACCTGAATATCTCCATGTTGGGTTCGGTATATGGATTGTAAGCGCGCTTGAAACGAAGCTTGGACATTCCTGAAACAGATTATAGAATCAAGATTGCGCGCATTTTCAATGATGCTGCGACGAAACTTGATTTCATGTGGAATGACGGGCGAGAACCATTACCTAATCGTGAGAAGAAGTCATTCAGGACACTGATCAAGTCACCAAGAGTAAGGCCCCGGTCACATACCAAACCTAAAGCCAAAGTGATGTGAAACATTAGATGCGTTTCAAAAGAAACACAAATCAGATGATTCAGAGTTGAAATAACAACAATGTTGCAAATATGAACTCGAAATTTTGGGTAAAAAAGACAACACCATTGCAAATGCATACAGCTTATTAATACCTTCAATCTGATGAAACTCCGCAAGATGCCTTCGGTCCACAGATTCATAGAGAAATACCTTTTGGGAGAAAATGGTTGCTGGAGATGAGATCATAAAACAAGTGAATATTGACATTCACAGAAATATTAATTATTAATTATGCTATCAAAATAAACAAGCTACTGTTGGGAAGTTGAGAGTTAGTTAGTTTGTTAATTAGTTAGCAGTTAATTGAAAGTCAATTAGTATGTTAACTGACTAATTTGAATTGTATATAAATGGAGTGTACTGAAATGGTTAATAATAGAGTTGAGGTATTTTTTCCACACGTGTTTTACATGGTATCAGAGGAAAAGTCTCGTGTGGCTCGACCTTTTCTGATTTTTCCCTCTTTTTGCACTGATTCATCTTCTCTTCTTTCTTTGTTTCCATGGCACGCACCCTCTCTACCTTCATCCGTCGGATACGCCTGGGACTGTTCTGGTCTCACATCAGTTAACGGGAATTGAGAATTATAATCTCTAGAGCCGCTCGATTCGTATTGCGTTGCTAGCGAAGAACAAGTTAGGGTTCGTCGACGGTGAATGTGCTCGGGGTAATTTCGCTGAACTCTTGCAACCGCAGTGGGATCGGTGTAACACAATCGTTTTGTCATGTATTTTGAACACAGTAAGTGATGATCTCTCGGCGGGATTGGTGTTCGCTTCCACTGCAGCACTTGTTTGGAAGGATCTGAAGGAGCGCTTCAGCAAGGTTGATGGGTCACAAATTTTTTTCTTACATCGAGAGATTGCTCTCTTTACTCAGGGTGATTCGTCCGTTTCCACCTATTATTCGCGGCTGAAATTGCTTTGGGATGAATACAGTGCATTAGTTCCTGTATCTTCCTGTACCTGCGTTGATTCCTCGCAAGCCTTGAATCATGCTCTTCAACAACGATTGTTTCAGTTTCTAATGAGGCTGAATGAGACATATTCTGCGATTCGAAGCCAGATTCTTCTTCTGGATCCTCTTCCTTCGGTTAATCGGGCGTATTCGATGGTGGTTCAGGAGGAGTCACAGAGATATTTTTCCTCCGGCGTTTCTCCTCTTTCTGATGCGACGACTATGTACTCCAATTCCTCTAATCCTCGTCGTGGCAGATTCAATGGAGTTTGTGATTTTTGCAAAATTCGTGGCCATAAACGGGAGCAGTGTTATCGGCTCAATGGCTTCCCTCCTGAGTTCAAATTCACAAAGGCAAAGAAGTCTTCTTCTGCCATAGTGGCTAACTCTGAGCAGAGTGATACCCGTTCTGAGTCTTCCCCTGTGACTGCTCCGTTGGCACCGATGTTTACAACGGACCAGTATAACCGCTTGCTGGAGCTCCTCAACAAGGATGTTCATGATTCTGGTGATGTTGCTGCTGCCAACTTTGCAGGTATGATTCATAGTGGTTTACCTACTTCTGAACGTAATTTCATTATTTGGATTCTTGACACTGGTTCCACAGACCATATGTTGTCTAGCTTTGAATGCTTGAGCAACCCTGTTGCATGTACCTCACGATATGTTCATCTCCCGAATGGTAAAACCATGCCTATAACACATACTGGTTCTTATTGGTTTGATTCTTCTCATTGTTTATGAAATGTACTATATGTCCCTTCCTTTACTCACAATTTATTATATGTTTCCAAACTGACAGTTGACTTAAATTGTGATGTTCAGTTTTATCCTGATTTTTGTGTCTTTCAGGATCTCTTCAGTGGCAAGATGCTGGGGATTGGTAAGAAACAAGGGGGCTTGTACATTCTTCATTCTTTTGGTTCTTTTCTTAGTTTTGCTTCTAAGGTACCTTTCAATGTTAAAACTCATTGTGTGTCCTCTATTAATAATAAAACTTCCATTTGGCATTCTCGCTTAGGACATGCTTCTTTTCTCAAATTGCATCATATGTCATTAGGTGACTGTAAATTGGATTCATCTGTTATTCATTCTTGCTCAGTTTGTCCTTTAGCTAAACAAGCTCGGTTGCCTTTCCCAATAAGTCAATCTCGATCTAGTCTTCCTTTTCATCTGATTCATATGGACTTGTGGGGTCCATACAGAATTTCTACTCATAGTGGTTATAGGTTTTTTCTGACAATTGTTGATGATTGTACAAGAATGACCTGGGTCTATTTACTGAAACTAAAGTCTGATGCCATTGTCTCTTTAAAGAAGTTTTTTTTCTTTGGTCCTTACTCAATTTGAAGCTTTTATAAAAATCATTCGTAGTGATAATGGGTCTGAATTTTTCAGCAAAGACTGTGTGTCTCTTTTCTCTTCTCTTGGTATTGTTCATCAGTCCTCTTGTGTTGATACTCCTCGGCAAAATGGGTTAGCTGAAATGAAGCATAAACATTTATTAGAAGTAGCTCGTGCCCTTCAGTTTCAGTCTAGGGTGCCTATTAAGTTTTGGGGAGAGTGTGTTTTAGCTGTTTGTTACATAATTAATAGGCTTCCTTCTGCTGTTCTTGGTTGGAAATCTCCATATGAAATGTTTCATCATAAGCCACCTTCTTTGTTACATTTAAAGGTCTTTGGTTGCTTGGGTTATGCTACTGAAACTAAACCTCGTGATAATTTTTTTCCTAGAGCTATTCCTTCGGTTTTTATGGGATACTCAGAAACACAAAAGGGTTATTTGATGTTCAGTCTTGTTTCTAAGACTTTTTTTGTTAGTAGAGATGTAAGGTTTCATGAGGATTCATTTCCTTTTCATTCACCTGAGTTGTCTTCCAGGCTATTTCCTTCTCAACCTGTTATACCTGATTCAGAATTTTTTGTCACTGACCTATCTGTGACAGATATGTCTTTAGTCCATAATAATCCTTCCAATTTATCTCAGCAGTCTCAATCTAGTCCTAGTGTTGGTGATCAAGTGTCTCCTACATCTGTAACTTCTCATTCTTCTAATGTTCATATTGATCCGGTTGTTCGGAGGTCCTCCAGAGTGTCTAAGCCTCCGTTGTGGTTAAATGAGTATGTTTCTTTCCAATCATCCACTTCTAGCAATTATCCCATCTCAAATCATATTTCTTATTCTCATATTCCATTTTCCACTCAATCTTTTCTCTCTTTCACTTCTATTATTGAACCTACTAGTTATAATAATGCCATTAAAGATCATTTATGGTTCACTGCCATGCAAGAGGAGATTCAAGCATTAGAGTTAAACAATACTTGGTCTGTCTTTCCTTTTCCACCGGGTAAGGTTCCCATTGGATGCAAGTGGGTGTATAAGGTCAAGTTTAGGTCCAATGGTGAGATTGAGCGTTACAAGGCACGTTTGGTTGCGAAGGGGTATAATCAGCGCAAAGGTGTGGATTTTGTTGAGACCTTCTCTCCTGTTGCTAAACTTGTCACGCTACGGACAGTTTTAGCAATTGCCTCTTTACAATGTTGGCCATTGTTTCAAATGGATGTACATAATGACTTTCTTCAAGGCAATTTGTTTGAGGAGGTATATATGGAGCTGCCTCAAGGAGTCTGCAGCCAGGGGGAGAACATGGTGTGCAGGCTGCAGAAGTCTATTTATGGCCTAAAACAAGCATCTAGGCAGTGGAACATGAGGTTGACTGAAGCCTTGGTTGCTGCTGGATATAGCCAAAGTAAGTTTTATTACTCACTTTTTACGAAAAAAGAAGGAACAAATATAGTGGTCATGCTTATATATGTTGATGACTTGTTGATTACTGGAAATAGTGCTGCCATGATAGAAGAGTTGAAAGCAATCTTGCATGCTAGTTTCAAGATGAAGGATATAGGAAAACTTAAGTATTTTCTTGGGTTTGAGATACTTAGATCTAGAGAAGGAATTTTGTTGAACCAAATGAAGTATGCACTAGAGTTAATAGAAGAAACATGATTAGGAGGTGCTAAACCAGTTTGCACTCCTATGGAACAGAATGTAAAACTTACTTCTACTGGCTATGATTCTGGTCTGATTGAAAATTGTAAAGAAAAGTTAGATGATGAAGTGTTGCAGGGTGATAAAGAAGTTTTCCAGAGATTGATAGGAAGATTGATTTATCTCACTCATACAAGACCATATATTACCTTTGTGGTGCACCTTTTGAGTCAGTTTATGCAACAACCAAAAAGATCACACTTGGAAGCTGCTCTTCGAGTGGTGAGGTATATTAAAAAGAATCATGGTCAAGGAATTTTGCTGTCCTCTACAGGAGAATGTCAACTAACAGCCTTTTGTGATGCTGACTGGGCAGCTTGTTTAATGACAAGGAGATCAGTTACCGGTTTCTGTGTTAAACTAGGAGATTCATTAATCTCTTGGAAATCAAAAAGACAAAATACAATAGCAAAGTCATCAGCAGAGGTAGAGTACAGAAGCATGGCGATGGTGGCAGCTGAAATTGTTTGGCTAAGAGGTCTGTTATTAGAACAGGGTGTAAAGGATCTTCAACCGACCAGACTTTACTGTGATAGCAAGGCAGCATTGCAAATTGCAGCAAACCCAGTCTTTCATGAGAGGACAAAGCATATAGAAATAGACTGCCATTTTATCCGAGAAAAATTCAAGAAGGAGCGATCAGCACAGCTTATGTTCCAACAGCAAATCAATTAGCAGATGTCCTAACCAAAGCCTTGGGAGCTCAGCAACATGAATATTTAATTTCCAAGTTGGGAGTCAAAGATGTCTTTGGACTGCCAACTTGAGGGGGAGTGTTGGGAAGTTGAGAGTTAGTTAGTTTGTTAATTAATTAGCAGTTAGTTGGAAGTCGGTTAGTATGTTAACTGACTAATTTGAATTGTATATAAATGAAGTGTACTGAAATGGTTAATAATAGAGTTGAGGTATTTTTTCCACTCGTGTTTTACAGCTACCTATAAAGGCAAGGCGTAAAGCTTTCAAATATACCCTGGAAAAGTAAAAGTTTAAGCGCAAAGCTCGGAAAAGTAATGGCTTTTGAGTTTGTGAAAAGCAGTTGACTGAAAGTGGTTACAATACATCTAACTAGAGAGATGCAAAGCACTAAGAAAATCGAACCTTTGCAAGAGCATAAAGCATTCTAGTGGAGACGGCAGTTGTATGAGTATGCAACAGGTTTTTGTTAGCTTCCTCTCTTTTCCAGTCATACATATATCTTCAGAAATATGCATTAAAAAGTTTGTTAATCTCGTGGTTATGGAATATGGAAGAAAGATTATCGGAACAAGGAAAGCATCAGATTCATGGACGCCCTTCACCAATTCAACATAATCCTCCGGCAAATCCCCTGTGGTGGACGGCGCTGCAGGTGAATGCTTCAGATAAGTATCAAAAGAAAAGTTAAAAAGTTGTGTTAGGAATTCCATTTTAAGTAACTTCAACAAAATTATTCCATCTCACGACAAATTTTATTTGCAATTACAAATTATATTAAAACAAAAAAATGTTCATAAGATTAATTATGTTTAAACTACTGAAAAGCCTTTGTTTTTAATGGTTACACATTTTCTGAAAGCTAAACAAAGTTGATAAATCATCAGTCCTATCTTACCTTGAGTAATGGGTGAAGATGGCCAGATTCAGCAGGTAGTCCTTTAGCATTAAAGTTATACTCTTTGAACTCTAATTCCTTCCATTCAACCCTAAAAGACAGAAACCATATAAATTATCAGTACAAGAAACCTCCTCAAGAGCAAAGCACACTGGTTAAGGTGTTTAGATGGATACTTATAATGTCTACGACATAACTCTGTAGATTGTCTCGAGTCAAATCGGTAGCAACTTTCTTTCTTTTCGGGGCATAGTTAGGTCCTTTTCTCACCGAGTAACCCTTCCATGTCCTAAAACGGAAAGTATCCGCAATGTGAATAAAAATACACCTACAGGAAGAAAAAAGATAGAAAGCACAAGCAAGGGACTGGAATGATTACTGTGCAACGATAAGCTTCCTTGCTTTAAGTGAGTTAATACCCCCTTTGCCAATTCCCTACAGTAAGACACTGACTTTAATCAGTAAATTAATATAAACCAATAGCATAAACATAAAAACGATGACATACCTGTCCACTTTGTACTCTAATAAGCAAATCCTTAATCTTGTCTTCAACATGTTGAACCTACACCAAAACAAAACTGGGGAGATAAATAGCATAATCAAATAAAAAGACGAGGATTCATAAACGATTACCTTTTTGGAAACTTGCTTTCCCATTTCGACCCAGTTGTTTTTACCAGCTTGTGAGCAACCAATTTTGAAAATCGAAGGGTCTAGCTTTTTTTGTACCAATGCAAGTAGAGGTAAGAGTTTCCGTACTTAAAAAATCGAATTTTTTCCACTCAACTTATTGTTAAAAAGTTCGACTTGATTCGACTCAACTCATAATCTTGTAAACACGAATCGACTCAAAACAATTTAAATTCGAATTGAGTTATAAAATAGAACTCAAATAAATTAATTTTTTAATAATTAATATATTGATTTTTAAATTTGAATTGAATCCTCAACTCTACAAGATATTTGTATATTGTACATGGATATAGAAATATCATTTAAACTAAAATTTAATATTATAATTATTTACAATTGAATTTAAAAAACTCAAACAAATCAATTTGAATTTCATAAACTCCAACTGATTCGAAAAGTTTCAAATAAAATCTTTCAATTTGAATAACTCAAAAAAAAATTACTCAGTAAGTCGAATATTTACTACCAAATGCAAGGTTCAAAAAATTACATGTTAACATAGCTTAGCTTACGAAAAACTTAAGGAACATTTCTGTAAGATACAAATCCCAATATTCGAAGACTCGGAATTGAGAATGGATTAGAAATTGGAGAAAGCCACTGGGCTGAAGTTCATCTTTAGGAATGGTGCCATCGGGAGGGATGGCTAAGAAGAGTTGGACTTCGGGAGATCGTTGGGCGGCGTATTTTTGACCCTCTTCGGTGAGGACCCAAGTTCCCCTTTTGATGTCATGGGCATCGATGTAATGGAAGCCGTGCAGGCTCTTGATGACATTGACGAGTTCGTTGTGTTGGAGACCGTGTTGAGTTGCGAACTGTTCCGAGTTTGGGATCTCTTCGTGGGTAGACAAGTAGCTTAGTATGGCGTCCTCCGCCATTAAATGCTGCTGTGTTTTTTCAGCTATGCTCTTTAGTTTTGGTCTTCCTGTTGTAACCGGGTGTTATGCTGTGAGACACTTAAAATAAAGTTAATAAACTAATGTGATCGATAAAAAAAATTACAAGTTAAAAGAGCGCTATATAATTTATAATTTAAAATCGGAGTTTATTTGTTTGATTAACGTTTTAGTATAATGTTATAGAATAGTAAATTAACATAAAGGTAAATGTTATGAATACAAAACATAATAGGTTGTGCAAAAATGTATTGCTATGGAGTCATTTAATTTCCTACGATAAGAAAGTTAAAAATTGAAAACTTTAAAAACATATATAACAAAAACGGTTGCTCCCTATAATGTCTTTAAGTAAAAAAGAATGTTGTAATTTGGAATCTTAATATTTTGAATAATAAAATGAGTTGTACCTAAAATGTTATCAGAGTTTAAACTGATAGAGACTTTTAATTTCTCACGATAAGAAAATAAGTTAAAAGCTTAAAATGTTATGAATATGTATAATAAATACGGTTGCGCCTAATAATATCATAGTTCACTAAGAAACAAGTTGCGATTTGTAATGTTAATATTTTTATTAATAAAATAGGTTGCGTTGAAGAATGTCATAGTTCAATAAAAAAAACATGTTACAATCTGGAATATTACTATCTATAATAATAAAATGGGTTGGACCTAAAATATTATCAAAGTTTAAGCTGATAGAGCCTTGGAGTTTCCACGATAAAAAAATAAGTTAAAAGCTTAAAATGTTATAATAACTACAGTTGCACCCAATAATGTCATGGTTCACTAAGAAATAGATTGCGATATGTGATGTTAATATTTCTATTAGTAAAATAGGTTCCAACTATGAATGTCATGGTTTTGAAGAAAGCATGTTGCAACCACGAATCTTAATATTTTTAATAATAAAATGGTTTGCGCCTAAAATATTATCAAAGTTTAAGCTGATAGAGCCTTAGATTTTCCCATGATAAGAAAATAAGGTAAAAAGCAGAAAATGTTATGAATATATATATAAATAAGGTTGTGCCCAATAAAGTCATGGTTCACTAAGAAATAGGTTGCGATCTGTAATTGTCATAACCATTTTTTATAAAACAAGTATTTATTATTTTAAAAAACGATTATGACTTTAATTTTGAAAATTTGGGAATTTTGGATTAATTATAATTAAATTGAAAAGGGAGTCGCCATCGACCTTTGGGTTAGGTAGGTCGAATACCTAAAAACTTCTTTTAAAACAATTTTAAGAAAAATCATTTTTTAGACAAAAGTTGGTTTGCCTCACCAAAGATTCGATTAAATGGATTCGGGTGTCGGTTACGTGTGGGGAAGGGTAAACACCCCCACAATGCCCAAAAACTGGTACTTAACCGCTTACACATTGTCATAAATGGTGGAAATCATAAATCGAATATAAAGTTAAATTATGATTCATTTATTGAAATATAATTAATTTGCTTCAAATTAACTATTTATAGAAAATCCTTTTACACGATAAGTAATATTGAAATTTTCAATCCTTCGTCGGGAAAGCTAATTCAATTATTTCTCATTTTTTAACGAATAGTTTATCCTTATTGATTAAAAAATGAATCAAATATAAATTACAAAATTCAACATTTGCATAAAATAAACAAATAGATGTTTGGAAACGTATGTTGCATCGTTTGAATAAAAACACATTAGTTAGTAAAATAAACTTGATTTCATTTCAAATTTTCATGTCGTTAAAATGACGTATCGGATTGCACCACTTCGATCAAGTGGTACTTTCCACGCTCATTCTACGCATAAATGTTCTTGAAAATAAAAATCGAATATTTCATTCATGAATAAATTGCAATAGAAATAAATGTAATTAATTAAAAATAAAAAATAAAATGTTCACAATAAATGGAACAAAAACATTATTTACATAATACAAATAATTAACTAATGTGTAAAATACACATTCATACAAATGAGTAAAATAAAAATAAGTAAATATTACATACCAAAATAGAAAAACATTTAAGGGGCTAAAATATAATTAATAAAAATTTAAAATATTGAACAATAAATAAAAAAAAGTTAAAGGACCAAAACAACAAATACAACAACTTGATGGACTAAAATAACTAAACAGAAAGTTAAAGGATGAAAATATCAAAAACAAAAAGTTAAATCCCCAAACAGTAATTACGGACACTTAAAGGGCTATAATAGAAAAAACAAAAAGTTAAGGGACCAAAATAGTAAAAATAGAAACCTAAAGGACTAAAATAACCAAAAATAGAAACTTAGGGATTAAAACAGTAATAGTAAAAACTTTAATGGTTAAAACAACAATTACAAATAAAACATAGCCTAGATTGCAAATATTAAATAATACAAGTACTAAAAATGAAAATAGCCCAAAAATAACAATAAGGACTAAAATGAAATAAACAGAAACATAAATGGGCCCAGCGGTAATTAAACCAAAATCAAACTAGTGACTAAAAAGTAACATTTACAAATTTCATGGCCAAATTAGAACATCCACAAAATATCACAACATGTAATAATAGGACTAAAATGTAAGTTAAGAAACATGTGTACTCAAATCGAAATAAAATAAATTTTCATTTAATGTCTAAATAGTACGGTTACAAAACAAGGAGACTAAACATGTTATCATCCCATAACCCAAAACACGTTGAACCCCTCTTTTCCTCAAAACGTCATTGTTCCAAACGTAATATATATGTAAGATTAGGCTGAAAAATCAGTCATCCCTAATTCATTTCTTTAGTTTAAAAACAAGGGAGGAGAGAGAGAGTATTAAACTCTCTCAACTCCTTCAACAGGGAAGGGAGTATTCACCGTCGCCGGCGGTGGCCTACAACGACAGCCGAAAAAAGAAAAACACCCCCAAACCTTCCTTTTACTCTCCCAAACCAAAAAAGAACCCCACTTAGACTAAAAACACCCTAAAATGGTAGATATATAGTTTACATTTCAAAAAAAACACAAATCCGATCACCCCTTCAACTTCCCGGCAAGCAAAGGACGTGGTAAGAACCCTTTTGACTCATCTCTCTTCGAATATTCTTCCTTTCCCTTTCGTTTTTTCTTTTTGTTTTTTCCAAAGTTTTCTTCTCCCTTTTTTTATGAACCCCGAATAATCATCTTTGTTCTTCCCCTCCTCCTTTTTGAGTCTTCCCCTATTGATTTATGGTTACACGTCCTTGTTTGGTGATGGATTTGATAGATTTTTATTGCCTCGAGATTTTATGATCTACCTTGGGAAGATATGTTGACATTTTTAATATTTTTTCTTCTAATTTCTCTGATTTTGCACTGTTGATTGTCACTGTTGGGTGCATATGGGTTTGATCGGAGGTGACAGTGGAGAATAGGCAGCAGCAGCGGTTGAAACACCTATCTAGGGTTATAATGAAACCTTAAGTAGAATAGGGTTGGGTCAGCTGGGCGGTTCGGGTTAGATATTGGGCTCCAGTCAGGTTGTTGGGTTGGCTTGTGTCTTCGGGTTTGGGCTTGTATTATAGTTGGGCTAAGTCTGATGGGTCCCCATTTGGGCTACTTGTAATATGGTTGGCCTTTTTTGAGCCTCGGGTGGTACTGGGCTTTGGCCTGAAAAATGATGTAATAATTAATAATAATAATAATAATAATAATAAAAATAATATAATAAAATAAAATAAAAAAAGACACTGACAAAAACGGTTGCACATTCTTGTTTTAACAAGAATAAGGAAAAGACGACAAGACAACACGTTTTTGTCTGGTTCTCCTTTTTTTGTTTAAAATAATGGATAGGTTTGTTGGTGGGGATAACACTGCTCATAAGCGATGAAGATGTCTGGTCGTCTAAGTGTGACACGACTCCTACGTGATGAGAATATCTGGTTGGTGAATGACACAGCTCATACGTGATGAAGAGTTCTGGCCATCTTTAGGGACGGTGATAATTAGGTTCTTACGCGATGAGGATGGCTGGTTATCTAGGGGTGACACAGCTCCTACGCGATGAGAATGTATGGTCAAGGGATGAAACGGTTCTTATGCGATGAGGACGGTAAGCCATCTTTAGGGATGATAACACAGTTCCTACGTGATGAGGACGATTGGTTATCTATGGTTAACACGGCTCTTACGTGATGAGGAGGTCTGGTCAGGGGATGACACGGTTCCTACGTGATGAGGACGGTTGGCCATCTTTAGGGATTTTGGTTTCAAGGGAAACTGACTCAAAGATTTGTTTCAAGAAAAACAAACTCAAATATTTGTTTCAAGAAAAACAAACTCAAAGATGATGTGTTTCAAAAGCAACCGTCTCAAAAGAGACAAAATTTGTTTAAAGGGAAACGACTCAAAGATGACATTTAAAGGGAAACTGTCTCAAGCGAGACAAAATTTGTTTTTAAGGGGGACGTTCTCAAACATCGGTGTTTCATGGGAAACTGTCTCAAATAAGATAATTTTTTTTAAGGGAAACGATCTCAAAGATGTTTGTTTTGTTTCAAGGGAAACAGACTCAAAGATGGTAAATTTTATTTCCAAAGAAACAAACTCAAAGATTTTTCTCAAAAGAAACTGTCTCAAGCGAGATAAAATTTTATTTCCAAAGAAACAGACTCAAAGATGGATTACGTCTTAAGTGAGACAAAATTTGTTTCAAAGGAAACAATCTCCAATGTTGGGTTTTCATTAGAAACTGTCTCAAAAGAGATAAAATTTGTTTTTAAAGAAATAGACTCAAAGATGATTTTGTTAAGAGAAACAAACTCAAAGATTTTTTCAAAAGGAACAGACTCAAATATTTGTTTCAAGATAAACTGTCTCAAGAGACAAAATTTCTGTCAAGGGAAATGACTCAAAGATGATTTGTTATTTCATGAGGAAATGTCTCAAGAAAAATAAGATTTGTTTCAAGAGAAACGATCTTAAAGATAGTAAATTTTGTTTCCAGCGAAATGATTTAGAATTTGTGT